CAGCCGGGCAGCACCAAGACTCCAGGAAGCCCCCTCCATCCTCTCTGAGAGCATCTCTGTTCGCACCTGTCACATTCCATTGGGACTGTCTGTCTACATGGCTGTCTCCCCGCGGGGATGTAGGATTCATAGCAGAGACTGTCTTCTTCATCTTTGCTTCCCCACAGTCCTGGGGCCTGCCACTGGGCTTGGAATGTAGGTGCCAGGTAAATGGGAGCTGAACTGATTCAGCCTTTCACCCTTCCAAACCCCCACCCCCCAAAAAAATCAAGCTCTCCTTAACAACCCCCCAGCAAACTCTCAGTACATGTCCTAGGTGTATAAGAGAGGAGTTGACTAAGATGGAGCATTCCCAGAAGGTTCTAGAACATCGTTGTGGCGCCTCAAGGATCCTTGTAATCCACAGTAAACAAAGAGCTGGTGGAAGATGGACTGGTGATCATGGCCCTCAACCAGCACATGAAAAAGCCATTAAACTGGGACTGAGGGGTAGACTGTGGAGGGATGGGCTTTCTGGAAAGAAGGCTGGAGAGCTGATGCACAGACTAGATGCATGACACTGGGCCCTGCCTGCCTCTGCTCTCGCCCCCCAACATGAGCAGGTGACCTTGCTAACAACACCGAGAGAACCAGGAGAAGCAGGTGTCCGCAGAGGTAATCATCTATGCATCATTCTCACAGAATGGCAACGGAAGCCCTGAGTGTAAAAGCCTGTGACATGGCATGAAATCTGAGCTTTCTAGGAGCAACAAAAACTCCTGTTCCCCAATCCTGCGTAGACAGTGGCTCCAGCAGCTGCCATCAGGGCCCCCAGAGGGTCTGCTCCTGCCCTATGTGCTCACCTCATTTCTAATTGGATTCTGAATTCTGAGCTGGTGGAATCTGAAAGCTACAGTAAGGGTGACTGTGTGGTGCCGTCTTCTGGCCAAACCACATGACAGCTGAAATGCTGCCCAGCCAGGCTGTGGGGAAGACGGCTCCTCCCGGCCCTCTCCGCCCCTCTCCTGAGGAAGACGTAATAGGACAGTCCCCTCTGGGCTCCATCACAAGCTTTCTCTCTATTCAGAGATGCCATTTCTACAAGGCAGAGGTTCTAGATTTCTCCATCATTAGGCCTGTGCATGACACTGTGCCCCTAGCAATGGAGACAGGCTGCACTGAGCCAACTCCGTGCTCACCCAGCCCCACGGCAGCCAGTCCTGGGTGACAGTCATCTCATCTACATTGCAGCATGTAGCAGTACTTAATTCCTTCTTATGGCCAAATAATATGCCATTGCATAGATATGCCATTTTTTGTTTAGCCATTCATCTGCTGATGAACATTTGGGTTGTTTTCACTTTGGGCTGCTATTAATCATGCTGCTATGAACAATCGTGTACAAGTTTCTGCATGAACATACAGTTTCATTTCTCTTGGATCTATATTTAAAAATGGAGTTGCTGGTCTGATGATAATCCTATGTTTAACCTTTTGAGAAACTACCTTATTGTTTCCCAAAGCAGCTGCACCGTTTTACACTGCCACCAGCAACGGATAAGGGCGGCGATTTCTCCACATCCTCACCAACACCTGTTATTATGTCTTTTTTATTACAGTCATTTGAGTGGGTGTGAAGCAGTATCTCACTGTGGCTTTGACTTGCGTGTCCCTGAAGGCTGATGATGTTGAGCATCTTTTCATGTGCTCATTGTCCACGTACAGATCTCCTTTGGGAAAAGGTCTCTTCAGATCCTTTGCCCGTTTCTTAATTGGGTTGTCTTTGTATTATTGAGCTATGAGAGTTCTTTATGTATTTTAGGCACAAGCTCCTATATGTGATTTGCAAATATTTTCACCCATTCTGTGGGTCGTCTTTTCACTTTCTTAATGGCGTCCTTTATAACACAAAAGTTCTTCATTTTAATGAAGTTCAATGTATCGATTTGTTATTATTGTTGTTGCTTGTGTTTTTGGTGTCACATCTAAAAAAAAAAACCAATGGCTTATTTAAGGTCACAACTATTTTCATCTATGTTTCTGCTAAGAGTTTTTAGTTTTAGCTCTTACATTTAGGTTTTTGATCCATTTTGAGTTCATTTTTGTATATGGTGTGAGCGAAGGGCTCAGTTTCATTCTATTGCATGGGGCTATCAGTTGTCCCAACACCATTTGTGGAAAGACTATTCTTCTCCATTGAATTGTCATGACACACTCACTGACAATCAATTGACCACAAATATGAGAGTTTATTTCTGGACTTGGAATTCTATTCTATTGATCTGGATGTCTATCCTTGTGCCAGTACCAAACTGTCTTGATTACTATAGCTTTGCAGTAATTTTTAAAATCATATTATTCTTTTTTAAGATTATCCTTGAATTTCCATATGCATTTTAGGATCAGTTTATCAACTTCTGCAAAGAAGCCAGCTAGGATTTGATGGGGATGGGTTTCCAGTTCCCGTTCAGCCCTTCCCAACCTCTACTCCCTCTCCTCCCCCTGGGTTCCCTCAGGCACCCTGGAATCTTTTCCATAAATTCCATCTTTGCCCTAGCTAGTTTGGCTCAGGGGATAGAGCGTTGGCCTGCAGACTGAAGGGTCCCAGGTTCTATTCCAGTCAAGGGCACATGCCTGGGTTGTGGGCTTAATCCCCAATAGGGGGCATGCAGGAGGCAGCCAAACAATGATTCTCTCTCATCATTGATGTTTCTATCTGTCTCTCCCTCTCCCTTCCTCTCTGAAATCAATAAAAATACTTTTTTTAATTTCCATCTTTTGCTTAACCAGATTAAACTAGGTTTTGTTTCTTACAATCAAAAGAATCATAACCAAGTACAGCAGGAACATGGTCCTACACACTATCTCAAACAACCACCTCAACACCACCTCTCCAGGGCCTAAGCCCTCAGACTGTCCCCCAAGTGCCCAAAAAACCCACTGAGATCCCAATCTTAGCAACGGCCCTTGACCCCAGCCCTTCACTGCACCTTGTAACTAGTCCCTTTCCAGGTTACATATATCATCTTCACCAGTTAAAGCAAACATGCCCTCGATTTATGCTTGTGAAAATGAACAAGATGTCACAAGACAGCACCACAAAATAGACGCGTACCACTCTACACCCCTTAGTACAAGGGTCCTCAAACGACGGCCCGCGGGCCACATGCAAATACAAATATGGTATTTGTTCCCGTTTTGTTTTTTTACTTCAAAATAAGATATGTGCAGTGTGCATAGGAATTTGTTCATAGTTGTTTTTTTTAAACTATAGTCCGGCCCTCCAATGGTCTGAGGGACAGTGAACTGGCCCACTGTTTAAAAAGTTTGAGGACCTCTGCCTTAATATCTCTACTTCATGCCACATATCTCATTCAATAGGCAGATAAGGAGCTCTAGGAAGGCCACTGTCGTGCTCTTTGGACAAAGGCCACAGAAACTGAAGTCCAGAGGAGTTGTGCCATGCCTGAGAGTGACTGGCCCTGAACACTGGGCTGTACGATGTGCATCCCATGTACATGCACTGCGGGGCCCATTGCCCAGAACCATCTTTAAAAGCTGCTTTAGAAGACACCCCCTTGCCCAGACAGCGTGGCTCAGTGGTTGAGCGTTGACCTATGAACCAGAAAATCACAGTCCGAATCCCGGTCAGGGCACATGCCTGGGCTGCAGGTTCGATCCCCAGTGCGGGGTGGGCAGGAGGCAGCCTATCAATGATTCTCTCTCATCATCGATGTTTCTATCTGTCTCTCCCTCTCCTTTTCTCTCTGAAATCAATAAAAATATATTTCTTAAATAAGCCACCTCCTCCTGCCAGTCTTCCAGGACTGACTGCTCCCACTGCACCTCTGACATCAACTCTACAAAGAGACTAACAGCTCTCCGAGGGCAGGAACAGTCTGCCATGCATCCCTGCCCTAACTGCCCACCCTCACCCTTCTGAACAAAACCTCATTTTTGTGGGAGGCCTCATTTTTTACCGCTTCATATGCCAACCCTCAAGACTGGCTGTGCTTTGCCCAGAGACCTGTACCCAGGGCATACACAAGCAGTGCTGGCAACTGAACGGCAGGGCAGAGGAAGGCTGGCCTGGGAAACCTTCCAGCTAAGATGCGGGAGTTGTAGGCAGAAGGAGCTGCCTTGAAAGGGGGGACGTCTCATGCGTGAGCTGATTCCCATGCCGCAGGATAGTATTTTGAGCTAATGACCAATGCTATTTTCCCCTCCTAGAATTTCCCTCATTTTCAATTCACTCCGTTGGGGCAGGTGACGGGTTAGTACTCATTGCCCAAAGGAGGGATGCAGGTGGAAGTGACTTTTGTTGAAGTCGCCTGGGGGAAAGAGGACCAGGACGCAGACAAGATTGCTGGGCCAGAAATATGGCGAGAAAAGGAACAACAGCGGCGAGGAGAAGCAGTGGGAGGTTCGAGCCGAGAGGTGTGTCTACTCAGGGCTTCCCAGACAGACAGGCAGACACGCATGGTAAACGGAGCAGATAATTCCCAGTCCCAGAATCTGGTGTTGGAAGCCTCAGAGCCCCAGGGCCAGGCCGCCCAGCATGGCGCCATCTGGTACCGGATGACTCAGTAACGTACTGCTCACACACACACCGGGGTGTTTCATGCTGTCCTAGGATTACACGGCACCGTTTTTAGGTGGGTGGGCATGCCAGACAGACAGCCCATAGGACTAGGGCTTCACATAAAAACTACGGAGGGAGAAAATGCATTTCTCTTTCTTACACCCCTAAGCTGTCGGCTAAAGGTCACGGCGCTAGACACAGTCAGTCCCACCACTCTGGTGCCGCGGCTACCTTTCCAGCGTCTGCTACCCAGGTACCCCAGGGAGCAAGCGCCTGACCAGCCTCCTCCAGGCCAGAGGCCCCCAGACTGAGGAGGAGAGCGTGACAAATGCAACAGCCCCACCCATGTTTCCCACAACTTACGGGGAAACCAGGGGCCCAGAAGAGCTCTGGTTTGCCCTCATCTCTGACCTCTACATAACAGGAAGTGGCTACTTACTTGACCTTCAGGCCTGCCAGCATGGTCTTGTCGATCCTGCCAAGAGAAAAGCAAGGGCTTCGGTCAGTGCCAGGACTGAAGGCTCCCCCATAGCACCTGCAGGCGAGAGGTCCCTGGGTCGGTCCAGACCACCAGACGGACGGCGCTGCAGGGACAGCTGCTCCGGAAGGAGTTCTCCTCCAGCCCCGCAGGGAGGGCGGTGAGCTCTGGGAGGGCTGGAGCCACACAGAATCCTATGAAGCGGGTCCAGTTATTCTCTCCATTTTAGAGGTCAGGAAACTGAGGCTCAGAAGGGTAAAGTCAATGTCCCAGCCTGAAGCCAGGTATCCGACGCCAGACCCAGGGGTAGTAAGCACTTTGGGCAGCCTCTCCCTTCATCGCCCCATTCCACAAGAAGACTCTGAAACCTAGATCCACCAGTCACTGGCAACTGGACATTCAGCACATCGGTACTTCCTAGGATTCTGCTTTGAAAAGATGCCAGCACCCCCCCCCCATACCTCCAGCACCAAGGACCCTCCTGCTCTGGGAACTGCCAGTCCAGCCAAGGAGACAGGCTCCCCTCCTGGGACAGCCCCGACTGCAGGCTCCAGGTGACGGGCAGGAGCTCAGCACAGGGAAGAGCACGTTTGCGGCAGACTGTCCTGGCAGCCAGCGCCTCTGCCCAGCCTGCGCCTCTCTGGAAGGCAAGGCAGCGCTGCTCAGCTTCTATTTTTACCCTCCACATATGTCAGCCCTTATGGCTGGGAAAGAGGCCCCTTTCTCTCCCCAGAGACAGGAAGGTAGGCAAGATCGCCACTGCTGGTGTCTCCTCTTGTTTAGGGGTCACAACCACTACTGTCACCATCACCACCACCAGTGTCACCACCACTACCAGTGTCACCACCCCATCAGTGTCACCACCATCACCAGTGTCACCACCACTACCAGTGTCACCACCACCACCAGTATCACCACCCCATCAGTGTCACCACCATCACTAGTGTCACCACCACTACCAGTGTCACCACCACTATCAGTGTCACCACCCCATCAGTGTCACCACCATTACCAGTGTCACCACCATCACCAGTGTCACCACCACTACCAGTGTCCCCCACCATCACCATCAATGTCACCATCACTAACAGTGTCACCACCATCACCAGTGTCACCACCACCACCAGTGTCACCACCATCACCAGTGTCACCACCCCTACCAGTGTCCCCCACCATCACCATCAATGTCACCATCACCAGTGTCACCACCCCTACCAGTGTCCCCCACCATCACCATCAATGTCACCATCACCAGTGTCACCACCCCTACCAGTGTCCCCCACCATCACCATCAATGTCACCATCACCATCAGTGTCACCATCATCATCATCAATCTCACCACCCCATCAGTGTCACCACTGCATCAGTAACACCATCAGTGCCACCAAAATCACCACACCTACAAGATGCTTAAAACCCTGGAAAGTTCTTTCAGCCACCCTGGTCCATCCAGCTCAGATCTGCCACAAGCTTCTTCCCATATACTTGACTTCTGGGGCCATTGGGGGCAGGAGAGTGGTCTCAGGGCCATGTGGTGGAAGTTCAGAGGGGAAAGTTCAGACGGGGTGCTCCTAAAAGCTTTTAAGGGAGGTCCCAGCAATCACAAATCAGCACCAAGCTGGGGGAAGGATCCTTTCATTCTGAGTGAACTCCCAGCACCCTTTTTTAATTTTTTTGCAAGCAATCAAATCCTATATAATAAAAGGGTAATATGCAAATTGACCCTAACAGCAGAACAACCAGTCACTATGACGCGTACTGACTACCAGGGGGCAGACGCTCAATGCAGGAGGTGCCCCCTTGTGGTCAGTGCACTTCCACAGGAGGAACATGGCTCAGCCAGAAGCTGGCTCATGGCTGGCCAGCACAGCGATGCTAAGGATGTCCGACTAATGGCTTAGAGGGCTCCCTGAGGGATGTCTGACTGCCAGCTTAGGCCCAATCCCCTCCCGGGGGAGCAGGCCTAAACTGGCAGGTGGACATCCCCTGAGGGTCCCCCGCTGGGAGACCGGCACAGACCAGGCTGAGGGGATCCCCCCCCACCCCAGTGCACAAATTTTTGTGCACTGGGCCTCTAGTATATAATAAGAGGCATTTCTATGGAAACAAAAGCAAAACAAAGGTTAATGATTGGAGCAGACTGTAATCCTGGTTTCTAGGTTTGAAAGCAGGGTAACCAAGACTTCTAGATGTCTGTCTCTAATCCTCTTCCGACGGAGTGACAGCCATAGTCTGATAGAGCCTCCTGGCCTCAGTGAGAGGGTCTCTGGTGACCTTTTGCAGCTAGAACAGTGTCCAGAGTGGAGCTGTTGTGGTGATTTCTCTGACGTCTCCATCAAGCTGTCCCACCTGAGCTCGCATGGCCTTGGGAAACAGGCAGTGTTCGTTTCGTGTTTCCAATGGATGGGAGAGTGAAAATGCTAGTTTGGAGAGCTGCAGCCAAGTACTTAAGAAAACTAGAAAAATTCAGGATCCAGGCCAGTTTACAGGTAGAAAAAAAATTTTAACTGCAAAGACAATGAACAGCACTAGAACCGAATATCCACAAAAGTATATTACAGTTTCTCCTGGAACCATCTTCTCTCTAAGACGACGCTCATTTTTATCAAAAACAAACAGCCAAATTCAGACTAATTTATTTGCAACATAAGTCTAGTTTCAATAAACTTGGCCTGATTATTTGCCTAAGTCCAGCAAGAATACTGTCAACCACACAGGCTCTTCTAAATCTGCTGTGCAGGAATTTTTCAGGAATCTTCACAATGAATGTTAAACGTCCTCTTGAGGCTAAGAAGATAAGCCATGTTCTTGCCATCAGACTTCGCCAGCAGTACCTATAGACTTGGGGTTAATGCCTCTCCTCAAGATCCCCAATATGTCCTGAGCTTCTTACTGTGCAACCTTCGTTTCTTATCTGGGAAGACTACTGTGAACCAAGGTAAGCAAGGTATCAAAAGTAAGCGGAAGCAAAATTAGAGTTTGGTTTTCTCTCTCTGCTAAAAGGACTATGGGTCTGCTACTGATACTGTGAAAAAAATTTCTGCCTCGAGAGCAAAGATTCGATATTTTGTCAAAAGAATTTATGTTTTATGTTGTCTTAATTGGGTCCTTGATTAAAAAAAAACTGAATCTCCTCAATAGTAAGAACTAAATTTTGCTAACAATTATGTCAACTTCTGTGTTTTCCTTGAAATCTTTCATTGCCACTTTGGTTAAATGGATGATTAAGGATTGCTTCATCATGACTTATGATCCTATTTAGTCAAATGTCTAAACCTCTTGATATATTTTGACAAACTTCCTAAAATTTAAATTATAAGTAAGAGTCTCGACCTGGGAATCACTTTGGGGTGTTCCGGAAGGGCCCGTGGGACACCTCAAAAGCTTTGTTTTCCCAGCACCTTTTTATGTCAGTTCCCAATAGCGGAAACAAGCCACGCCCCATGGCTCCTGGCCCAAGTCCCTCCAGCTTCGTCTCCACATGCCTCCTGGACCCCATCCTTGGGGCTTCCATAACTGGTCCCCTAGGGTCTCATTGACCCCCAACCCCCTCTGGGATGCCGACCTTCCTCCTCTCCCATTCAACCCACCATTGGAAGGTATGTTGGACCCAGGAGTCAGATCCCCAGATTCTACTGTAGAGAACTGTAACCCTGTTCTTTGTAACCCTGAACAATAAGCCCTTACATTTTACATTTTCTCAAGGAGTCTCTTAATTCTTCCAACATCGCTGTGCTGTGGGTAAGGCAGAAAGCCCCCACTTACACATGGAGAAACTGAGACCCAGAGAAGGGAAGTGTCCCATCTGAGTTCCTCAATGAGTCCGGGTGGAGTCAGCACTGAACCTGCACTGCTGGCGTGGCACCCACTCAGCCCAACCCCCTCACCACCCGCCCGCACTCTGGTCGCAGCACCCAGTCCTCCCCACATCCACACCTCCCAGCAGCCTGACCCATACAGGGTTCCCACGCTGGGGCGTGGCCCAGGAGGGCGGGGCCTCTGGCCTTGGCAGGGCTGAGACAGAAGATGGGGCAGTGGCTGTGACACTGGACTTTTCCCTTCCCAGAAGCCAAAGTCCCCAGGTTCAAAACCTTCTCCCCATCCCATTCACGCCCACCTCTGGTCTACCTCTGGTATTCAAAGGGGCTTTAAAGTAACCACCCCCGAGATTGCACTCACTGTCTGCAGTGGACCAGGCTCCACCTAGCTGTAAATTAGCCCCTAACCAGCTGATATCCCCTCCCAGCTGACAGCCATCCCCAGATGACACCCACCCCAAACCTCCAAGCCTACCAGGAAGCCCTGCCATTCTCTCCAGCTCAACAAGTCCCCAACCAAGTGGACAAAACGCCTCACTCAATCATTCCGTAAGCATCTCCTGAGCCCCTACGCTGTGCCAAGCACAGTCCCTCTCTCTGCTCCACCGTGTCACTGCCGGGGCCCAGCCCTACATGTATCCCCGCCCAGCCTCGCACACGGTCCCTGACCAGGAAGCAGACTAGGGATTTGAACACAAACCCCAGCCTCAGGACAGCAGCCCTTGGCGTGAGTGTCGGGAAGGCCCATGAGCAGGCACCGGGCCACACTGGGCCACTCCTGGCAACTCCTCTGTCCTCACCTGCCAAACACGGAGCACCCACAGGCCCTCCTCCAGAGGACGGGAGGCCAAGTGCTTTCGGGGAGGGGAAAGGGGAAACGGAAAGCTGCATGCATATGGGACCAAGGAACCAGCCAAAGGACAGAGCCCCCCCATTCCCAGCCCCCCAGGCCTCCTTCCCGGTCTCCCTCACGTCTTGGGCCCCCCATAGCCCCCCAGCTTCTACACCAGGACACCCCCGGCCACCCTCTCTACAAGAGCGGGAACCTGACTTTGACAATGCCCCAGGCCCAGAAGCTGAAAGGAAACCGATAATGAAAACCACTAGACCCCCGCTCGCCGGCTGAGGAGACGCTGCCAGCAGCTGCTGACCAGACAAGCCTTTGACCTCCATCTCCCCACGTTCTAGCCCCTGCGGAGGAGGAAAAGGCCTATTCTTTGTCCCGGACAGTAACTTAGAGGCAAGAGGTGGCCCAGAGCGCCAGGCAAGAGGCTTAGCACAGACGCAGCTGCTCAGGCTGGGACAGAGCTAGGATTGGCTGTCCAGGCGGAGGGACAGAGGGGAGGGACCTGGAGATTCAGGCCTGCCCCCTCCTCTCACAGCTCACCCCCTGCAGAGAGGAGGCAGCCCCAAGGTCAGCAGGCCACAGGCTCCTTCTGCCGCCCAGTCACAAAGAGGACACAGACGGGAGCGTTACACACATGCACAGACAAGCACGCACACAGGTTCAGAACGCCAGAGGTACAGACTGGCACCAGCTCGGAAACAAAGGGCATGCACGTGGTCTTACCCATAGACACACCCTCGCAGCCAGGCACACACCTCACACACAGACACACGCTTCACGCACAATCTCAGGCACGCACACACATGCACAATCATCACAGAGGTGCCTACACATAAATGGGAACACATCACACACACACACAGACACACACACACATTCAACCAGTCACCACATACACTGGCTCCAGCTCCAACCTTCCAACTTCCCTAGAAGATTATACCCAACAGACGGCGAGGAAAAGCTTATAGTGTCTGATGCCCCCGCCAGGATCCTCCATCTCCATCAGCTGGCATTAAAAGTGCCCCCCACTGACCCAGGGTTGAGGCATAACCTGAGGTCCCTGTACCCACAGCCACCCACAGTGCTCAACAAGACTGCACAGCCAGCCACCCCCATCCCTTCCACCACCCCCAACCTGTCACCCACCATCCGAAGCCCCCAAAGGACACGCTGCGCTTCCTGCCAAACATGGTTGTGGCCGCGGGGCCCCAGGTCCAGGCGATGTTCCTGGGGCTGTCGGCGAGGGGGTCTCGGTGCAGCAGCAGTCAACGGGCCACCAGTGTAGGGCAGGGCGCCCAGCGTGACACCTCCCCCATGGCCTGCCCCCCAACCTGTACTTCCTGTGGGTGAGGCCACAGGGCCAGGAGGTGTGTCCTGAGTTCTGGGAGGCACCGAGGCAAGCAGGGGAGGTTGAAGAGGGCAGCCTGCCCACGCCCAGAGGAACTCGCAGCTCCGGAAAGGGCTCGGCTAGCAGATTACACCACAGCCCAAGCTGGCAGCTCAGCCCCAAACAGCCCTGGCTTCCCAGAACCCGAAGGAGGGCCGTGGATTCCCACACTGCGCCAGGCAAGGAGAGGAAGATCTGGCTGGGAGACTGGGGGAGCCCTGCAGACTGGGGCCCCTCACACCCACTGTCCTAGATGGGACCTTTGCCTTCCTGCTCCACCATGACTTAGCGCACACCAGGAAAGCCAGCTTCACACATGTAATGATTCCTGCACACATGTGGCATGGGACACATGCATGTGCACATGGGTTTGCATGCTCCACCAGTACATATAGGCACATGCATGCTCGCATGCATGTCATTAGATGCGCATGCATGTACATAGATACTGCACACTCACATGCAAGTTCATTAACAGACACCTGGACACATGTGTCTGTATATGAGATATGACACATCTTATACACATATAACTCCCCATCAGACACAGGCTCACACATGGATGAAGATGCACATACATGCATCATATGTGATGCTCACGTATGTGCATCAACTGGCTCAGGAGTGGGCAGGAGAACTCGGCCCAGGCACACACTCAGATGGCACGCACGCCTGCAACATACAGTCACAGGTACCCTACGCGGGCACAGATCTGCACTTCCCAGGCCCCCTCACGTGTCTAGGCAGAAGCCAGCAGTGCCACACTTCAGGCAACAGGGTGGGAGGTGGCACCTGTGTGCAGTGCTCTTTCCAGCTGGACTGAAGGCGGGCCCCCACCTCCTCATGCACCGGCGCTGAGCATGCCAGGTACACAGTAGGTGCTCACTGAAACAGCCGTGGCTGGCGTGGCACCTGCACTGGACCAGACTAGGGTAGGGGGACAGAGAAGGGGCGCCAGACCCTGCCCTGCCCCCAAGCAGCGGGAAAGGGAAACAACGCTGCTGTGGCTGCCACCAGTGGCCTCTCTCCCGGGCCCTCTCCCCGCAGCTTCCTGTTTGGGGGCCGCTGCTTCTGGGGGAGTCAGGTCCTTGCTGGGATGCCAGGGGGCCACCCCAGGTGGTGGACAAATGGCACAGACATTTCTATGTTCTTGACTCCTCCAGGGGGCACGGGCAGCAGCCTGGATGGGCCGTGAGAGCAGCTTTGGGGTCCTGACCCAGCTCAGGGCTGTGAGGGGCAAGTGCAGGGTCCTTCCTTCAGGACAGCTGGCCTCTCAGCGGAGCCGGGTGGTCCTCCGCTCCGGCCACACCCTCCGCCCAGCACCAGGAGGGGAAGGATCACATGGCTCACCCTCTGGCTCCCACACCCAGGGGATGCTGAACAGGTACCATGGTCACCTTGGGTCCTGCCTGCCCTACATCCATTTGGCCTCTCTAAGAGCAAAGCAGCTCTGCTCCACCCACCCCGCAGAGCACCTGGCCAGGCCTGGCCAGCCAGGACATCCACCCCCCTGGCCACAGAGACTGGCTCAGGGGCGGGCAGGAGACCTCAGCAGACCCAGTAGGACTCACTTGCAGCATACGGTACTCCCCCACTCTTACTCGGGTGCCCTCCCAGCTCCCCAGAGTTAGGGGCTGGAGAGTGAGAAGGGAGGCCACAGATGGATTTTAATTTGTTTTCCGTACATTCTGGAGGGAGGCAAGAGCCATCCTAGCACCTCCCCCACTCTCCTCTCCTCAGCACTCGGTCCCCCAAGTTTTGGAGCCGCGTGCCCTCCAGCAGGTTACGCAACTTCTCTAGGCCTCCATTCCCTCCCATATAATAGAGGGTGGCTGCCACGAACCCCACAAGATTACAAATGAACATATACACTTAGCACAGGGCTCCCACGCCATTATGGGAGCCGTTATAATTATTATCTATTAAGATCCCATCGCCTCCCTCGGTCCTGCCCAGCTTCCTGTCACCCCTGCTCTGACCCCTCTTCTGAGTGGGGTGGCCAGTGAGGGAGAGATTGTGAGTCAAGAGAAAAGAGAAGCTCTGTGAGCCAGGCCCAGCCCTCCTGTTCCCCTTAAGCACAGCCCAGCTTCCTCCCAGCCCTCGGCTGACTCAGCATGCGGGAGGTCAGAGCGGAGATGTGTGTGAGTTTACTGTGGACCAGCACCCCCCTAACAGCCCAACTCATTTCCGTCTCACAACCCCCTGTGAGATGGTACCACTGTCACCCCCCATTTTACCAGCGGGGACACCGTGGCTCGGAGAGGTTAAGGACCTTGACAAAATCGATCCGGCGCGATGGTGGCCCAGCTGGGCCTAGCTCCGGGGCCCACGTTCTCAACCGCTGTTCCGCACGGTGATCTGCTGCAGTGGGGCCGACCAGCCACCACGCTGCCCCGTTGATTCTGACGCCTCCAGCGATGCACAGTGGGTGCAGTGCCCATTTACAGAGGGAAGATCTGAGGCCCTGAGAAGGCAACGCTCAGCTCAGCAGCTGGAAGAGGACAGTGGTCAAGTGGGAAAGTCTCCCAACACCTGGCCAGACAGGCTCCTTCCCTCCCAAGGCCGCTCCTTGCCACTCCTCAGAGCCGACTTTGAGACTTTGAATCTCCCAGGCACAAGGCCCTGGCTTCCCTGGTGGAGGCCTGTGGGTGCTCCTAGTACCAGCTGAAGGGGCAAGTCCCAGCCAGAGTCCCAGCCCCAGGGCAGAGCTCCAGGGCACCCGCCCAGCTCTCTGAACATAGAGCCGAGAAAGCCGGTTGGGATCAGAGGGGACGAGGCAGCCCGGGCCCCGGCCAGCAGCCCCTCCACTGTGTCTGCCGGCCTTTGGGGGCAGGAGGGAAGGGAGAGACAGTGTGGCTTCCTCTTCGTGGGCAGCTCTGTCCTCACAGCCACCAACAGGGTGAAAGATGAGACAAATTCCCTTCCCGGGTGAGGGGCTGAAGCAGTTACCGGAAGCTCAGGAAACAGATGCCCCCAGAGAGGCGGGCACATCATTCAGCTGAGATCCGCCCCGACCCCAGGCAGCGTTGAGTTGAGTCGGCACCAGGACTGACCAGGTGGGGCTCAGCTCTCCTCACAGCTCGGCCACTGCATCACCTTGTGCAGGTCATGAACTCTGGGGGCTCCAACGGACTCCCCTCTGCTTCCTTTACAAGCGAGGTGAGGACAGAGGATACTCTGATCACCAGAAAAACAGGGCACGGTGGCATGTAGAGCCAGCAAGCCCGCAGGGGGCGGGATTCACACCTGGGCATGAGATAAACGACATCCAACATCTGCACTGTGATTTGCAGTGCCCTGGCCACTTCCCACGCTCACATCTCAAAGGCTAGCCTGAATTTCCAACTGTGCAAGTTCCGGAAAAAAAAACAACTGCAAGAGCAGGACTCTAACACGGGGTTGCACAATTCACTCTGATCTGCTCAGTAATGCTAGCCCACCAAGGCAACTACTAGCAATGCATGGCCGTGGACCAAAGAAGCTACAAAATGTACTGTATTCTTTTTTAATTTTACATAATAATTGCATATCACTTTTGTCCACCAGATAGTAAAGGTTATAAAAAAACAAACAAACAAACAAACCTTGAGCCCTGGCTGTTTTTGGCTCAGTGTTTAGAGCGTCGGCTCGGGCATCAAAGGATCGTGGGTTCAATTCCAGGTCAAGGGCATGTACCTGGGTGTAGCTGGGTTGCAGTTTCAATCCCCAGCCCCAGTCGGGGTGCAATGTGTCTCTCTCATATTGATGTTTGAGTCTCTTTCTTTCCCCCTCCTTCCCTCCTTCCACTCTGTCTAAAAAAAATCAATGGAAAAAATTTCCTCCGGCCTGAGGATTAACAAAACAAAAAACAAAACTGAAAAACAACCTTGATAATGGTGTGAGGAGATAAGAAAACAGGAGGCACCCCCACCAATGTGTGTAGGTATTTGGCAATATCAAAATTTTAAGTGTGCATACACTTTGTGCCAACATTTTTAGAAATTTATTCCACAGGCAAGTTCATACGAGTCGACAAGATCTATGCACACAAGTGTTAATTATATCATTGTAATAGCAAAATACAAAAAAAAAAAATCACCTAAGTGACTGTCATTTAACTATACAATTAAATACTATGTAGATACTGAAAAGAAGGTAGAATTCAGATGTTACTATATAAAGATATCCTAAAAACTCATGCAGAATTAAAAAAAAACACACAGAACAGGTCATATAGTAGAATCCCATGAATTTAAATAAATATGTAAATTCTCATGTTTGCCTAGAAATTTCCGGAAGGAAACATAAGCAATGGTCCCAGGTTGGTTACCCTGAAGAACGGGACTGGAACTGGAAATCTGGGGCAGAGGGACTTTTCACTCTATGTCCAGTGCTGCTTGATTTTCTTTTTACCCTGAACATGTTATCATGTCATAATTTAAAGATTAAAAAGTATTAATTATATGGATGGTTTGTTATAGAAGGAGAAGTCGGGGAGAAGAAGAGGAGGAGGAGAAGCTACAAGCCTTTGAAACCTTCTTAAACTAGCCCAGCCTGTGTGCTCAGTTGGCTGGAGCGTCATCCCGTGTGCAGGTTCAATTCCAGGTCAATACCTAGGTTTCAGTTCAGTCCCTGATTGGAACCCGTACGGAAGGCAATCAACTGATGTTTCTCTCTCTCCCCCTTCCTCTCTCTAAACATGTCCTCAGGTGAGAATTAAAAACACACACACAACAACAACAATAAAAAAAACAACACACACACACCTTAAACTATTTGACCATTTGGAGCTCAAACTGACCCCAGTCCTGGGACGTGGGACCAGGGACCACCTCTTCCACCCCAAAGGGAAGTCAGGAATCTGCCTTGCCCCAGAAAGGGAGGACCAGGGTCTCTCCCT